TGGAAGTAGGGTACTTAGCAAGTACAGGAGCCGCCTCTTACCATCAAATGTCCAAGCCTTAATATGTGCAAGAAACTGGCTTCGGGGCTTTGAAGTCATTGGTGAGTGTTTTGTTGAATTTATGGTGTGCCTACTTTGGTGAATGTCTTAATATGTAAACTATTGACTGAACTTCTTGGTTTTGATAGCTGGATGCGATTTAGAAGAAGAGGATAAGGAAGATGGCAATGAGGAAGTAGATGGAAATGGAAAGAAGAAGAAGGCCCGACTCAACTAAACCTTTAAGGTATGATCATTAATCTCACTTCTTGTGGAAGAATCAATTTGTCGCTTGATGCTTACATGCTTGGTTTAACACTTGATGCGAGACAGATTAGCTATTAGTCGCTTGATGCTTGGTTTAACACTTGTTACCATTTATTATATTTGTTGTGTTTATATGCTTGGTTTAACACTTGATGCTTCTTCTTTGATTGATATAGCAATAGGGATATTTGATTCAACTGTTAATTTTATGCTGTTATTTGTACTCCAAATTGTGTGATATAGCAATGGGGAGGGATACTGCAGATTAGTGTTGGCTTTCTTTTACTCGACATTGCTCTTATTCTTTCTCCTGTGAGATATTCAGTATGTTTATTATACCATTTATGTGACACTGGTGTGTCTGCAGGAGTTTATATATTATATATGCTTGGTCATATTCGTTGTGTTATTGGCTAACAAATGAGATAACGTTGTGTTTTTTTATAGGAGATGCTGAGAAGATAAGAAGATGAGGACCATCTATGTTTTATATTTTCTTATGTTTTTATTTATGTTTTGGATTATTATGAACTTTGTCTATGTTTTGGATTTGTAAAACTATGAATCTATTGTATGAATTTTTTATGTTTTGAATTTGTAAGAGATTTTAGAAGATTTGGGCTTTAAAAACAGAAAAATATTTGGACTTTGCGGAAGGCCCATTTGGAATGGTCCAATTTGGTCTGGACAATTTGGACTTGGTACAATTTGGGCTTAAAAATAATTATGTCCATTTGGTCTGTTGTGTCCATTTGGACATGCCCATTGGACATGGACAGCCCAATTGACATCTCTANGTAAGAGATTTTAGAAGATTTGGGCTTTAAAAACAGAAAAATATTTGGACTTTGCGGAAGGCCCATTTGGAATGGTCCAATTTGGTCTGGACAATTTGGACTTGGTACAATTTGGGCTTAAAAATAATTATGTCCATTTGGTCTGTTGTGTCCATTTGGACATGCCCATTGGACATGGACAGCCCAATTGACATCTCTACCTGAAGTTAAGAATCACCCATGTTCTTCAGCCTTTGATTTTGATCGGTAAGAACATATGGGTATTGAGATCAGTTTTGCTTAGGCTTCAGTTCTTCTTAGGAAACCAAAACGATTTGTTCTGTTTCTGATCTTGAACCTTCCATGGATATCTTGTTCTGATCAGGTTAGACGTAAGTTGAGCTTGAAGCTTATAGCAAAGGAATTTATTTAAACCTTGAGAAAAACCGGTAAGCTTTAGATTCTTGTTATTGGATCAGTACTGTTTAGAGCCGGCTGTTGGTTGATGAGTAACCTCTCTGGATTATTTTGATTAAGGCTTGTGTGGATTGATATCAGTGTAGTTCATGGTCGCCTAGAACCTAAATCACTTAGCTGAAATGATTTAGCCGAACTGAACCATTGGACTGATCATGTTCTGTCCCATCCGTGTTACCTTGTAGCTGTGGTCTTCATGTTCTGAAACTGCTTAGCTAAACTGATATAGTTGAGTAGAGCTGATATGAACCAAACTTAGTCTGAGCTGAACATGTTCTGAATTCATCTTGAACTGAACTGATCCAAGCTAAGCTTAATAGAGCTGATCATGGTCGAACTATCTGAGCTGAGTTGTGTTTCGTCCTGAACCAGACTGATCAACCATATGTTCCAACATTCTGTTTTGAATTCAGATGGTCAATGGGAGTGGTCGGATCAGCCGGATCCTTGTGGTGGTTCTGAACTGAGAGTGATCGAGAAATTGAGAATGTTTAGCGAGCTTGTGTCTAGTCTTCCTTAGCCAATCTCATGGATTTAAAGGTGAGTCTAGATAGATGATTGATGAGTTGATGAATGAGTATAGCATGATTACATATTGAATATGGTTGATTAATTAAAGAGTAATCATGGATTAATTAAGGAGTAATTATGGATTAATTAAGGAGTAATTATGGTTGATTGATTAAGTATTATTTCTTGATCTATATTTATTTATGAAGTATTTACCTAGTGTAAATACTTAAAAACTACTAAGAATAATTCTTTGAGGTTTATCCCGAGCCTTAGTACTTGTTCTCAAGTACTAATATATAAGCATACTATTAATACTATAAGTATGAATCGTGTGAAGTCTTATTGTATACTCACTCTCCCGAATGTCCCGCATTGCCGTGAATTGGTTCTGCGATATGGATCAAGGTCATGAAGACACGCTGATGGGGTCGCACCCTGGAGACCGTGTAACTTCATGCAGCGTTAGATGTTCTATCTTGGAATATCTGATGGAGATGATGGTTATATTTATTCCCGCTATGTTCAGTTAGCCTTGGTGGTTTTCCAATTTTAGCATAAATATATATTTTATGAGTATGAGTGATTGGCGGGTATCGTGGAGGTGATGTTTAAGATGGATTAACATTGATCTAATGATAGGCCTTATATATATATAGTTATGGAATATATTTCCACTGCATACAAATGAAGTTCATTGTTCGGGATATTATTAATATGTGTTGGGGTATGGGATTAGACTCACTGAGTAAACTAGTTACTCATGACTCATTTGTGAGCCAGGTAACCAGTAGGCGGGAGACCTTTACTATAGGACGGGAAGGAACGGTTTCAGCTAGCTGTAGATTTATTATCCTTGCAAAGTCGTTTCATATATCTTATGTATAATTTTTGTTAACCGAAAACCTCGAGGTTAATACTTAACGTTTTGTAAGATGCTTTTGAAAGAATATTATATAATGTATAAAGAATGTTTATTTAAGTATGGGTTCCATATGATATTAGTCCTTGTCCGGACAAACCAACTATTGGGTATTACTCGGTCGGGTTCCAAAGCCTTGGGTTGTACCTAATAGTATATATATGTGTACTTAGGCAATTGGCTTAAGGTACTTGGATTTATTCCGGGAACTTTGAGTTAATCATTTATGTGCACATTGTGGCTTCTTTGGTATGGTTTAAGTTACTAGTGATTGGATGTGCATGTTCTTGTTTGATTGTTGCACAGCCAGTTGAGTCAACTTGTACTTAGACCAGATCAGGGATGTCACACTTAGGGCTTGCATATCCATGTGCGCTGTCAGATCTGTTTCTGTGGTTTTTTCATTTGCTTCAAACTAAGAATTGCATTCACTTTCTGCATGTCTCACCAATTCAAGTGGATCTCTTGAGATGCCACTGAAGAGTATCATTTTGTGCTTTGCATAGGAACCAAATGATCCATGGATAAGGGTCCTTGTCTAGTTCAAGGTCTTCAATCTCATTTTTTTCTCCAAAACAGGTAGTCTATGTTTGTGAATATGCTCATTGTTGGAAAGGTTCCCGGGCATGAGGGTGTTGAGGCAAGGACCCATGTCTGCAAAGCCGGTACACATTCGAAAATAAAATGGTTAGCAGATTCATCTGGTTCACCACATCGTGGGCAATTATTGTCGCAATGCATATGACATCTTTTTAAGTTTCTCGTGACCGCTATATAACCAGACACCAGCTTCCATATAAAGATGCGGATCTTCTGTGGAGCTTATATCTTCCAAGCAAAAACCTTCAAGCTGGTTATACTTGGTTCCTCTACCATTTCTTCAACCTCGCGGTTCAGAATGTTTCTCGCGACCAAGTATCCTGATTTCACCGTATATATCCCATGTTGAGTATAACTCCATCTATACATATCATCTCTATGGGATTAGCTTATCGCCAAACTCCGGATGAGTGGAATGTCTTCCTGAACAATAAGATTCTCCAGCATCTCCACATTCCATACCTTTGGGGAGCCATGGATCAGATCACTGACTATCATTCGCGGTTGGATTAATTGCTCGAGCCGGTCTAGCCGGGACCGATGGTATCCATGGATCTTCCCAAACACGTATTTGGTACCATGAATGAACTTTCTGATTAATTTCCAACATTAAAAGAGGTTTGACAGTATGATGCCCAATGCATGCCTCGTTTAGACGGATTCGAGCTCCACCAAATTTAGCAATCACACTTGTTAGTTTATCACATATCTTCAATGGAAAAAGAAAATCTCTATTATAGAATTGAATTTGCTCTAATGTATACCTTTATAATCGAGTTCCTCTATTTATAGAAGAAAACATAGAGATATGATATTTTCAGTCTAAATATAGAGACAAAAAATAACATAGAAGAACTCTGTTATACAGGTATACATTGGAACAAATCTACCTCTATAATAGAAATCTCTATTTTAAAAAATATATATATATAGAGACATACATCGGAGATGCTAAAACACATAGTAATGCTGAGGACATTGATTTAATAATCAGAACCCGTTGTGAGATTGGTGATTTAAAAACACAAACACACCTCCAAATTTGCCTCCATAACATTTTAAAGAATGTGCTTATATAATTAAGCTTGGAACAACAATACAACTTTCTCAGGTATTATGTTTTGATACAGGAAATCAACATCAGTACATTTGCATCATACTCAAAAAAAAAGCGAATCAAGAGGAAGGAAAAAAAAATTAACAACAAAAAAATAAGACTGCCCCAATTGCTGCAATGTCTACAAAGACGCAGTGGTGGGTAATCCGAGAGAATACAAACGCTATCGACAACCGTCTTGCTCCAACTTGGGCACCATTTACGTGCCTTTTAATGAACGCACATGCTTGCTTCATCTTTCTGGGGACTCATGAAACAACACAATCACAAAATATAATCACAGTTTTTTTTTTCAAAAGAGTTCTTCAGAGTTGAACTTGTTCCATGCTTCCTGTTAATTGCCAAGAGGGGAAAAAAGGATGAAGCCTGTAAATGTGGAAAGAATCTACAAACAGTGCGGTTCTAGTTACCCGTGCGAGACGCAATCTAACTGAATAATAAATTATGTTAATGTTGATGTTGATGGCAGCTATTGTAGCAGTGATGGTGTAAAATGGTAAACTCATTACCTTGAGCATGTCGAACACTTTCTCGGCAATGTATTTCTGCTGGAGATTAGCGCCCTTTTGCTGAACTTTGTCAGGATGTATACAGAGAGTAGCCTTCCTGTAAAATTTCTTGACAGAAGCACCGGTAATTAAATCGGTCAATGAAACAGGCTGCCAACCACACTCTGGCCAAAGAACCTGTAAATTTCACAAGAGATTGTAAGAATCACAACATCATAGGTACAAGTGAAAATTAATACAAGAAGTTTAGAAAATGGACAATAAGACATACATATTGTAACGTTGAAAGCAAGGCACGCAAGTTTCCCTCCTTCCCCGCACCCCAACGTTTTATCTCAGCATCCAGAGTCTCACCGATTCTCTGAAATCCAGGATTAAGTATGATGATTAAACAAACAAACAAGAAAAATCCAGTGCAATCCATGATGTAGTGTCTCAGACTTGAGAGATGAATAATAAAAATAACACAGATCGTGGCACATT